GCCCCCATGGCTGAAAGGGCGAGCATGTTTGGTGGGACAGGGATTCTAAAATATTCTTATACATAAATGCACGATTCAATAACACAGTTCTTGGCTCCTATAAGATAGTGTTTACAACTTGAAATGATTTATGATAACACTCACTGTCCATTGTTTAGCTTAGTTGTGTAGCCCAGCTGGAATCAATGCCACTGGTGATAAGAAGAATACATTTATGCTAAATTGTTTGTTTGTTTTGAATTTCGTGCAAAGCTACATGAGGGCTATCTGCACTAGCCGTCCCTACTTTAGTAGTGTAAGACTAGAGGGAAGGTAGCTAGTCATCACCACCCACCGCCAACTCTTGGGCCACTATTTTACCAACGAATAGTGGGATTGACCGTCACATTATAATGCCCCACGGCTGAAAGGGCGAGCATGTTTGGTGTGACAGGGATTCGAACCTGCGACCCTCAGATTGCGAGTCGAGCACCCTAACCACCTGGCCACGCCGGGCCTACTTTATGCTAAAAATGAAAGTGAAGATGACATATGAGCCCAATGGAACTTTCCTATTTGTTTATCTCGCTGTTCTGGTGTAAGGCTTAGTTTTTTTAATAACATTAGATATCATTCCTCTACTTTGACCTTAAAGTCTTTAACAGCAGTCAGTAACTGGCAAGTGCAGATTAAATGAAAAGAATTTCAGTTTTACACAAGAAAAGTTCCATCTGGAAATGATCAAAATGTTTTAAAGAAGAAATAAGTAGGAAACAAATAATATACTTATGTATTTTTAGTAAAGATAAATAGATGTTAAGTGTTTTAACTAATAAAATTAACTTTAAAATAAAAGGTTTAAAATTCATAGCTTAACTGTGAATGTATCTTATCAAATTACATAGGCCCTTACCAGACAGCATATCACATTACTCAAGAGTGTACAGTATTGTTCAAGTTGTCTTAACATATTTACTTCAATTTTAACTGACTCTGCAAAACAGTATAGAAGCGTAATTGGTAAATTCTCATATTTACTTATAAAATTACGATTGTTTCTCATTACAACAAAGGTTTCAGAACACTATAACCACTGTATCAACTCTAGCAATAGTATGTATACATATAGTACGAACTCAGTTTTGTACTAGGCTTTCTGCATATCTTAGATGAAAAGTAGTTTTCTATCGGTGATATGAAAGTAAGCTTTAAGATTATAAACTCTAATAGAACAGCACACATTTTTATACAACTAATATGTCCATAAATGAAGTGTTATAAACTTACAATCTTATTTTCAAAATGAATAAGTTAGTAAAAACATCTCTGAGCTACATACAGTGATTTAAAAACAACATTGTGAAACACGGCTAGAAATCCTACGTACTAGAGTGTTGTTTGTTTTAGCACAAAGCTACACAGTAGGTAATGTGTTCTCTGTCCGCCACAGGGAACTGAATCCAGGAATTTAGCATTGCAAGTCCCTATACTTACTGCAGTGGGGAATTGTTAACTGTGAATCAGTACAATGGTCATATCACACTTACGTAGAAGTTAGCCTTATTTTATTACGGCTCTCTTGTAAAAAAAGATAAGTGATAGTTCCCAAAGTTTTGGGCAGAAACAGTAATTAAAATCTTGAAAAAAAGCACATTCCATTAATTAAAAATGCATAAGAAACCAGTCATAATGCAATAACGTTGTATGTTTAGTTTAAGTTCTCCCCCAAAAGATTAATACACTAAGTTTCTGTTATCAGAATGAAAAACTAATTACGTATTGTTGTAAAGTATCCTTATCTACGAAAGTCAGTTTGGTGTCTTTTTATTAGGAAGAAAAAGTTTATTTTAGAAAACCAATCTAATCAAAGTTAACACGAAATAAACATTCAGTAAAACAAAAAACTCGATGATATTGTATTAAATAACACTTAGTTAGAATAAAAATTGTTTACAGACAAGACTTGGTGTTACTCAACTTTTTATTATTGCAAAAATTTAATAAAACTTTAGCTTTATATGAAATAATGAAAAAAAATAAATAAAACTCCACTATTCATGAATTTGGAAACTAGGGTACAGTGTGTGTCAAAAGACACATGTGAAATACTGATTGTAACTAACTATCATACCTTGGGAAGTATCAAACAAGTTCAGTTTTATATAAATGATTTTTATTAGTTGGATGTTAAATTTTAGTTGTTGAATATGGTGCTTATAACAATTTTTTACCATGCAACATTTTAACCCTAAACTCGCAGCACACAATGACAGCCACAAATGAGTGTCAGAAGTATGTCAGTTACGTAACTGCAGGAATAAAATATAAAAATGTGTCTAAGTTTGTATATTCAGTTGAGTCATGAGTTATGTTCATGAAATAAGCCATTCTCAAAACTTTGTCGCAAGTTCAAATCATTATCATCACTTTAATCATGAGCCGTAGAACATTTTCACAACGTTCCCCGCTTGAACGTTTCTATAAACATAAAACAATAATACTTTAATTGGGTTACTCATATATCTCATAGCATTTAGGCAATATAAGTAATACACCTTTTAAATAATATTTATATATTATTACAAAACAATGATATCTTGTTACGTATTTTAACCACGTGTAGCAAAATATTGTTTTACAATAATAAATACTTTAGTTTTATCAAATCTAACTTCTCTGAAAAAAAAAAATGTATCTATTTAGATGTCTTAACATTGTTGTCAGCAACAAAAAAAATTACCTTTGCAGGGTCTTCACTTAAAGGGAAAGTGGGGGAAGTAATATCTTCTGAAATAACAGGATCCGGACAAAATATAAAGGGTTTAAACATGGAATTCCTCGGGTTAGGAGTTGCCGTGAACCAGTGACAACAAGGTAAATGTGTATCAGGTGGTGTCAGCACAGAAACCTAAAAGACAAATATTACTCAAAAATCAATCAATATTAGCAGTTATTGTTATGTCAGATATTTCATTAAAGCCCTATTGTGTGAAATGAAAAAAGAAGTATTGCTAATCTGGGGTAAAGGGATATTTTTTTTAAAAAGGCTTAAATTTGGCTAAGATATCAATGGATACCAGTATTTTAATAACTTAAATAAATACTGGTATTGTTGAAAAATAACCATAAAGAGCTTAAAATCTCAAAAGAAAAAAAGAATTTTGAAGTGTGAATCTCAATATGAAATTTTAAAGACATGTGAGTCATTAAACTTTACAGAACAGGGATATTTTAAAAGCATTCCTATCTAACAAAAAGCTACATTTTAAAACATTTACTCTGAATTATCAATTTTTCTGTAGATTCATACACTCTTTAAAATACAAATTAATGGTCTATATCACTTTTTTGTACCTGTACTGTGAATCACACACACATGTGACTTTAGGAACCAAATATTTATCATGTACAAGTTTTCTTAAAATAGCTTTCAATTAAATAACTTTAGTGAAACTTTTTTTTCCAAATATTTATAGTTTAAAATTATTATTAATATGTTAAAGAAGAAAAACCAATATATAAGTGACTGGTACACTTAATTTATTTTTATTACTCTCATATGCAAGAGATACCAAGTACTCCTGGTCAAGAGAAGCATTTCTCTGTGCTGTACCATGTCAGGCCTGTGTACCCAGAAAAAAAAACTATCAAAAGGTACACAATTACAAAGTAATCAAATGTACAAAAAAAAAACTCTGGCACTACAACTACAGCTTAACAATGCATGAACTGCCTCCATATGTAATGTTTTTTGGATCTTGCAGCATTTTACAAGCTTCTCAAGACTCCCTAGACTCATGATGCACAAACGTGGGGTGTACCCCCTTAAAGAGGACATGGAGAGTCAGTAAGTGATACATAACTATGACCATAGGTTCACATAAAGTATATCTGAAACTATAAATATAAAAATAAAGCTATTTTAAAAATTACTATAAAGATTTTGTATTACCGTTAAATAACATAGCAACAACAATTAACATGGGAAAATGACATATATACAATATATAAACAAATAGATTATACATATTACAGGGGGATACAAAAAGTGCATGTTTAGAAGAGGGGGAGTGCATTAAAAAGTTTGTACAACACTATCGTGGACAATTTGAGTAAAAGAGCATATGTGCTTGTGGACACTCATAACAAAATAAACTGTAAAATTTCTGACAGTTCAGATCGCTCAACAACATTTCATAACTTAATTGTGACACATTTTCTCTTTAAAATAGTAACATACGATATCTTATTTTGGCATTTTAAGTTTTTCTTCTTAATTTTAACCAATGTTTAAATGGTATGCACTATGCTTAAATAAAATTATCTATATAAATTTCGATAAAAAAAGTTACATAATATTATCTATTCATGTTTTGATGCACAACATTTAACATGTGTCTATCTATAAAGTATTTTATACATTACAAAGCTTGGTATAATTTTTCATACACTGCACTCTAAGAAAAATGAATGTGTCACAATAAACACTGAGTTGTTTCTGTTCAGATCAATGTCTCTGTGTTATCTTAAGTTAGTAACTGAGACACTACAGAGAAAACTGAACTATTTATGCTCACCTGAGATGTGTTGTGTTTTTAGAAATGATAAACTTAATAGCAGCCGAGAAGACTTAAGAGGACATTTTGTTCAAGAAAGAAAAACTGGTTTCCCTCTGCAAGCCTAGCCCTAACTTTTAGATCTATTGACTATATAATTTTCTCACATTTTCCTCCATCCAATTATAACAAGATGTTCATAATAAATAAATTCTTGTATCTCTAGAGACACGTGCAGAGTAATTAGCAAAAAACAACAACAGCAGAGCAGTTTTATAAACTAACTGCTCTGCTCACGACTTACATTGCTCTCTCCATGTCAGTGAAAAAAATGGGTCCAGAAGTTTTAGAAAACATAGATTGATAAAACATACTCGAAAATTTATAAACAGAATCCATCAAGGCTTCTATTAAAGATGAACTTAACTTTTACAATGTGTCAAGAAGTTTCTCTCGAGATAGCAAATTAAGTTATTCTGGACCTCTAGAGTTCTTAAGGTTAAACAATAAAATATACAGTACTTACATAGATGGCCAGAAATTATAATATTATTTACATTGTTTCTTGTTTTAAATAAAATAAATATAAAAAGTGGAATATAAAATACCTGACTACCAGTGGAGACAAAAAATCCAGAAGACATGCAGATGCCGCTGTCCACATCACGTAATATTGTAAACATATCTTTCTCTCGAAACCCTCCTTAAACACACAGAATCTAATTTACCACGTGATTCAGTAAACTGTTTTTATACAGAGTAATTTCTCACTATGTATTGTAAACATTGCATTACTTTTGTTTCAATACAACAACTATAATTTTATTGGTTTTCCATTTTAATGCACTATACCCTTAAAAAACTAAATTTTTTTACATTTTCTATTGGATTACTAATTTCAGTTTTTTGTCCATTAGTGGTACTAAATGCCTTTACAGAATCTTAAAGTTACTACAGTTCATTCATACTCATATACCAACTGGATGTTTTTTTTTCACATTTTATAGCTTACTGTACCATACGAATTCAACAACAAATACTTTGATATTGAAATATATTGTTAATTTACTTTCTGTAGATATCACACCTAATTTACATGTATTGTGATTCATATTTTTTTATAACACTAATATTTCAATATTTTAGGCACTACAGTATGGTAATAACTTCACTAAAGAATCAACAAATTAATATTTTCTTTATAAAATGCTTGCATAAAATTCTGGTTTAGATTCAAATAAAAAAAAACCAATATGTTGCAGAGCATTTAAACCATATCTGCTAAGACCTAAATATCGCAGTTACTGATCCTGTTACTTGTCTATTCTATAACTCATAATTTATAAACCAAAAATATGTAATGAAATGTTTGCTCTCAAACTCACCACTTGCAGACAGTTCTGTCAGAAGTTTACGTCCACATTTATATCGTCTGTCTGTAGCACCTTCCCCAAACGCTCGAGCAAAGTCTAAACCACCCTTACTAGGATCCCAAAGTCCTTTCTGGAAGGCATTTTCCTCCAGGTTCTTACTCATGAGATCTATTTTCTTACCAATAGAGAGATGGTTGGAAATATTTCTCACTCCACCTGTTGACAGTGGTGAAAAATAATGCATTAATGACAACTGGTTACGCTTTGTTTGGTAACAGATACGACAGACAGTAACTGAATATAACATCAAAGTAAATTGCCCTGAAATTCTTTAGAACAGGATAACATCACGTTTCACAGAAGAGAACATAACAACTAGTACAATTCTTTGTAGTAGATGAAATGTCATAAATAATTTGAACATAAAATGTAAGTATAGAACAATCCTTGGTAGTCTTTGTATAACTTCAAACTTAAAGAAGCTTACATGTAACATGTTCTGCAGCCCAGAATCTGTCAACAGTTTCTAAAACCCAAGCCTCTCGTTGATCGGCAATGATAAAACTGTTATGGTAAGTCATGGACGGTATAATGTCAGAACACGGGCCTCCTTGTCCGTGTTTTTCTAGTAGTTCGGTAATAACATCCAAAGCTTTGCGTGCTGTTATAGCCCTCTCCAAACCAAGCCTAAGGAATAAATGTGAATACTTATCTTGTATAAATACTTCTTTAATAACAAAAATAATAATACTTTATCTTCTTAACAATACCGCGTTACAAAATACAGTCTTATTACATTTATTTGGTTACATTTTTATACTGATACATGTAACAAATACTTATATGATTTCGGAAAACATTTGATCATTAAAGCGTATATAATTAATATTTGTAATATCTAGTAGTAATTGAAGAAACATTTACTGTCTCACACGTGACATCTCTAATATTTAACCCATTGACTGCTGCTGCTGCTCTAAATGATCGTGGAATTTTTGTGAGCTGTACACCATATATGACACACTCGCATTCAACTACCGCAGGCAGACCATAACCTATACAACAAATCAGCAGTTGATGGGTTAAAATGTGTAGCTCAAAATCTTACAAGCAAACACATACGAGCTTGTTTGGATCGTTCATAGTCTTGTTAATACAAAACCTTTTATACTGTAAGTCTAGAGGTCTTTAGAATGGGTAGTTAAATCTATATTTTACTGAACATAAATCAGTTTCTATGACTAAAGAATAAAACTTCCCTAAGGAATATCTACATATCTATGGAATAGATGAAAGTCTACATACCTACCTAAGCTTCAAGCATCTACTGAACAGATGGTTAACTGTGTCGAAAACACTCAGTTTTTAGTTTACATACTCACAATAAAAATTCATGCTTTAGCAATTAAAATCACACCTCAGGCAAGATATAACCTACGATTACAGCAGACGATAGAAATTAAAGCATTAGAAACTAAATAAATTTTGTATTGCATAAAATGAAATGTCATAAACTTTACCCAAGATTTTCGTACCTTTCTTCCAAATCAGAATTAGACTAAATAAATCACCAGCTTCAATAGGCTTTCAAAAGACTTCTGAATATTTCTTGAAAATCTCTGTGCTACTGGGATTATTCTGCATGTAGACACTTTTATGATCATTTTGTAATCATTCATTAAATTGTTAAATTATTCACATTTCTAATCATATTTTGTAGTAAAATAAAACTTGAGTCAGGGATAGCCTATTAAGAAAATTTATCTTCAAAGTCAATATCTTCTAAATGTTGATTGCTTATCTCTTTCAATATTCTAAGAAGTTTTTATTTCCCTAAATATGATTATTTCATTATGTTTTTAACGTCTTCCTCGCAATTTAACCAAACTTTCAATCTTATGCCAAAAAAGAAAAATTATTACACTAATGCCGAGTGTAATTTTTTTATTTATTTTTCCTAAGAAATATATTCATCAGGTTATATTAATTTTTTGTCATCAACAGGATGTGGAGACTGATACACGATAGAGCACTAATCATCATACCTTAGTAGGTCCATTCCCAGAAGTTTTTCTTCGTGGTCTTGTGGTCCATTTAATTTGGTCCACACTGCTTCATTACCAATACAGACCCCATGTTCATTACTTCCCATTTCGGCCCCCCACATCCATGCAGGCTTACTCAGGATGACAGCATGAGTGTGTTCAGCCTGGTCTATCTCAATATAAGTGCACTAGAAAAAGAAAGTCTTACACTTTATATCTCTACCGCCGACTTTAAACAACTAGTTTTTGATTTCATATTGTTGCGTCATCGAGATCATGCGATTCTCACGCTCTCTACTTTCTAGAATTATCCTGTACTTTGGCGAATGTTCTAGTTCTTACTAGATATAGGGTAGTCGGGTATATAAAAGAGGTAGACAACGTGACAAGGTAATGTGTGTGTAGATATTGAGTAATTGATCTGCAGTCAGAAGTATTATTGAGCACGTTCGTTGTTAT